AGGAAAGGAAAGGAAAGGAAAGGAAAGGAAAGGAAAGGAAAGGAAAGGAAAGGAAAGGAAAGGAAAGGAAAGGAAAGGAAAGGAAAGGAGAAAGAGCTGAGTGGTGGTGGCATATGCCTTTGATATCCTAGATATCAAAGGAGGATCTCTGTGAGTTCAAGGCCAGCCTGGTCTACAAAGGAAGTTCCAGGACAGCCAGAGCTGTTACACAGGGAAACCCTGAGTCAAGAAAAAACAAAGCAAAAAACAAAGAAAGAAACAAACTATATGTGCAAATATAGATAACACCAGCACTAGGTATTTTGTTATGAAATGGATGGGTTTGAATAGCAATGAAATCCAGAGCTATGGACACAGTGGTGCGTGTCGGTAACTTCAGCATTCAGGATGCCAAGACAGTATCACTGAGTTTGAGATTAGCCTGGGATACACAGTGACTCACTGGTTTCGTCACTGCCTTTCCCCTCCAACCCCCAAGCAAGAAATTTAAAGAAATTTGTTTTCTTTTTTAAGATGAGGAAAGAATGTTTATTTCTGAAAACACTGATCCAGCAGACAAGGAGAAACAATGCAGCAGAAAAGGGAAGAACTGAAGGACCGAGGGCTGTGAGCTGCAAAGGCCTGTGGGAGCTGGTGGGCAGCGGGAGTGGCTGGGTCCCCTTACCTCTGAGACCCAATTCATCAAGTCTGTCAGAGCCTTCAGGCGGACATCTCCTTCCCAGCGCGTAACGATGAACCCCTCCATGCGGAGTTGCTGGTAAATAACGACTTCTGGGGGTGGGCCTGGAAAAGGGGGATTCATTTGTGTGGCAGGGTCCAGGGACCTGTCCACAGTGAGACACACTGTCATGGTTCTCCACGACGCTCCCCCATTCTGTTCCCTCCACTCCTTTCTGATCCACAGGGCTGTTGCCGACCACCACTAACTGTGCCGGGGTGAATAACGGCCCCAAACCCCAGAGTTCGTGAGAGAAAAAGAGAGCAGTGAGCGGAAGGCTGCACTGGTTGCCTGGGAGCCAGCAGCTGAAAGCATGATGCAGGGTTGGAGTCGCACTCTCTCCAAGAGTCAGCTGAAGCGTGCATACGGAATAGCAGGTCGGGAAGAACAGAAGTAGTGCATCTTCGGCATCCTGGACAAGGGGTGTCACTCAAGGCTGAAGTCTCCACTTACTACTTTGAAGAAAGTACCATTTGTAGTCAGGGAAATGGAGCCTTGTTTTGAACCAATAGAAACTGGCACATGATGAGTGACATATGTAAATGCTGGGACAGGCCCCAGAATAAATATATTAAGTGATATAACGAAGTCATAACGAAGTCCATGCTCAGACCACCTCTGCAGCATGGCGCTTCTTCAAAAGGCCCATAGCAACCTTATTTCCTTTTGAGTTGAAGGTTCAACCTGGGCTACGGAGACGGCTCAGTCAGTCAAGTGCTTGCCTTTACTTTTGCAGGCATAAGAACATGAGTTCAGATCCCAAGCACAGCAATTCGAATCTGTAACTCTAGGTAGAAGGATCCCTTGAACTCATTGGCCAGCCATTTAGATGAACTGATAAGCTCCAGCTTCAGTGAGAGAAAACAGTCTCAAAAACTAAAATGGAGAGCATTTGTGAAGCTCCCTAAGGTTGACCTCTGACCTCCATACACACCCACACACACCACCCACATAGGCAGGGACCTTCACTTCCTCATCTTGAAAGAGGCTGAAATACTGTTGCTGAGCTAACCACCCTGACAGGAACCCTGGTTTCTTTTTTGAGTTCAACAAAGCAAATATGGTTGTAAGTTGGTGGAAATACTGACTTATCTCTAGCTATAATGATACTGGAAGTGCTAGACTCTCTGGGCCTCAGAAGCAAAGCAGAATCCTATCTGATGAAAACAGACAAGGTCAGCTGCCATCTCTAAGATCTATCTGAGTAGCAGAAATTCCAAAGACTAGCTGCTAAAAACTCTAGATCAAATTACTATGTCCAGAAATATTTGGTTGTACCTATTTAGACTATGGTTAAGAAAATGTATCCTGGTGCTCTCTTTGGTGGGCAGACAGATGGTTTCCCATGATTCTACCTTAGCATCAATTGCAAAAGAAGATGGTGGGGGCGGGGGAGGGGGGTGTCCCTATCAATGAGATTGCCAAGGTATTCTGGAATTTCCTGGCTGGAGAAGATAGTGTTTTGATTTTCCATAACTCAGGAGGGAATCTGCGATAAGTCCTTCCGAGGTCCCACCTGCTCTAAGCTCCACTGTTTCCGGGCAGTTCTGCTGTTAATCAGTGCTATGGGATTTTATCCACACTAGTCAAGCCCAGAACTGAAGAAGTAACCATTTGGTCTGTGGTTACCCCCACCCTGATTAGAGGCACAAAGATCCCTTTTTCTTCTTCTTTCTCCTTGGGGGCCTCAAATCAATCTGTCATTCTGATACCAGAGAAGGACCATATGTGAGGAAGTGAAGCACCGAGCTTGATTTTGCGTCAGCCATTCATCTCGTAGCAGAAGCTTGCCCAAGATCCCTCACAGCCCAGAAGCAAGGACTATAGGGCTCTGGGAGGATAAAGGAGAGGGAGGGAGGGGTTTCAGTATAAGAAAGTGATGAAGAGAGAGATGGAGAGCACAAGAGAAATAAAAGAGGCCAATCAAAGAGTGTGTGGCGGGCGGGCGGGAGGGTGAGCAGGGAGACTGTCAGGCCCCCCTCATCAGGCACAGATGTCTTGCTCTAGGAGGTCAGCCCACACCTGTGAAGATGTGACAACCACTCCCGCCCCGTCCCGTATCTGTGAATCTTTGTCCAGTCCTCCTACGTGCAGGAGCAGAATACCTGGGGGACATGCACCCGTGCGGTTGTACTGAGAGATGGCTCCGCAGATGGCAATTCTCCCAAAGGTCTTCATCTGCGCTATAACGGTATTTGAAAACTCTCCACCTACCTGAGTAGACAGCCAAAAAACAAAACACTTTAAATCATTTTTAAAATCCATTTCGGAGAATCAACAAAATTAACTAAATCGGGACAGCAGTTATAATGATTGTAGCTAAAATACATATCAAAAATGGACATTTCCAGGAGGTGGAGGCAGGAGGATCTGAACTTTGAGATTATTCTCAACTACATAGTGAGTCTGAGGCCAGCATGGGTTATATGAAATGGTTTGCAAAAGAGGAACATTTTCATTTGACCTTAGGAACATACTTTATATAGCACAAAGCTAGTATGTCAAATACCATAGTCTTCTGCATAGCCCAATAGTCTCACTGTCCTAGAATCTAAAGGTATATAAATACTCAAAAGGCATTTGAGGAACAAAGCTACAGAACTTACACTTTCAAATTTCAAAATACACTGCAAAGCTCAGTTAAAACAACATGAAAATAGAAATACAGGTCAGCGGAGCCAAACTGAATCCACAGGGAACCTTACATTTACCATCGATTGGTTTTCCACATGAATGGATGCCAAGACAGTTGACAAGGGGGGAAGCCTTCACCACCAGTGCAGACTGCACATCCACATGGTAAAGATCAGTGGTGGCTCCTGGACTATACACTCAGACTACTGAATGTGTAATCCAGACAGGAGTGTCCGCACTAACATCTAAACTCTTAGCAGAAGCAAGGAGCAAGTATCAGTGACCCCAAGAAGGCAACACCCTTAGACAGCACAGTAAATGCCCAACCAACCAAGGAAGGAATTGAAACATCTGCACTTCTCAGGATGCCATTTGGAGAATGAAGACAGCTCACAGAGCTGGAGAAAAATTCTGAAAACCATATACAGTTAATCTTCATTCTCACAGGATCCCATATTTAGGAACCATATTCCTTGCTAAGATTCATCTGTGCCTTCAAAATGGGTCCCAGGTCATTTGCAGACACAGGCAGTCTCAGCAGAGACTGAATGAGCAAGGTGATGCTCTGCCTTCCTGTCACACAGAGATAGCCAAAGGATGGCGACAGTGGAGCCTGGGATCTTCGCACAGGGAGCAGAGAATGGATGTCGACCTTGTGGGTTTAAGGGCAAGTTACTTAACACTTCAGCTTAGGATAATACTTCTGAACCTCATTTCTCTTTGTAAAATAAACATGCTACAAAAAAGGAGGGGGCTTTAGCATTTAAGATTATAATCCACATGAGACATGGTCACGTGTGGACATTTCTCCTAGGAGCCACAGTTCGGTGTTCCTGGAGACTTTACAGAACACAACTACTGCAAATAATGAAAATTGACTGCAATGAAGAAATGTGTACTCATACATAAAGAACTCAGATAACCCAGTTGAAAGCTAGGCCAAAGTTCTGGACACATTTCCCCAAACATGATACACTTATGTCCATCAGCAATCTTCAGTGTCATCTGTCACAAGGAACTGTCAAAACCAGACTGAAATCACTTCAAACAGGTTAAGACGGACATAAGAAACCAGTCATTACAGGTGGCATTAAGGCTACGGAAAAATTCTAACCCTTTGAGGTAGGAATATACGACAGTGCAGTCACTTTGCAAAAATACTTTGGCAATTCCTCAAAATGTAAACATGAAGTTTCCATATGACCTAGCAATTCTACTCATAGATGAATATCCAAGAGAAATGAAAACAAAGTCAAACAAAAATTTGTTTGTGAATGTTCATAGTAGCATTACACACAATGATCAAAAACTGTAAAGAAATCACAGACACCTATCAACTGATGAATAGATAGAAAATGTGGTATATCCATTCAATGAAATATCATTCACTCATAAAAAAAGAATGAAGTACTAATACCTACTACAACATGGATGGATCTGGAATCATTTTGCTAAGTGAAAGAAGCCAGGAACAAAAGAACACATTTTTGAGTGGGAAAAAATCGAGGAGGTAACTCATGATTGCTGTTTCTTTGGAGAATGATACATATTCAACAACTGTGGTCATATAGTCAGTTTGGTACTAAAAGTGGTTAAGATCTGAACTCTAACTCCCTTTCTTCTGCAGTGCTGGGTTTGGACACAGGGCTGTGTACATGGTAGGCAACAAGCCCTATTACTGAGTTACAACCTTAGCCTAAAAGTCAACTGTTGGTTTATTTATTTATTCAGTGGTTGATATGGGGGGCATGGTCTCACTAGGAAGCCCAGACTTGCCTTGAGCCTGTTATCCTCCTGCCTCAGTATCATGAATGTTGGGATTATAGGCATAGCTACCATATCTGGCTATGCAGTTTAAATGAATGAATGCCTGGTCTGAGTATCTTAACAAATCTTTTCCCCCCTAAAGAGTGTACTTGATTCATATATTCTAGATGGAAACTTTAGAAACATGTTCCTTTATGTAATACATTATTCATAAGTCAGGTAAGCTCAGTTTGTACTTACATTGTCAAAATAGCAATCATAGCCATCAGGAGAGGCCGTTTTCAAAGCTTCTGCCAAAGACTTTACTGTCTTGTAGTTAAAGGCAGCATCGAATCCGAGCTTCTTAAGATAGGCAACCTTTTCATCGGACCCTGCTGCACCAACAACTTTGCAGCCCTAAGTAGGGAAAAAGTGTAGACCATTAATGAGCAGAAGCATGGCCCAATTCCACTTTCCCGGTCTTCTACAGGAGGCTGCTCGAGAACACACCATGTGCTAACCACTGTTTCCACACTATGACCAAACACCTGAGAAAACAACTGGCTCACAGTTCCAGACGCTTTACTCCGTCGTCTCTTGGCTCCGTGTTTCTGGAATGGATATTATGTTTATCACAGCAGAAGGGTAGGACAGTAGGAAGCCGCTCAACTATGACGGTCAGAAGAAAGAGAAAGAGACAGAAACAGACAAGAAGAATCTAGAACAATTTTCAAAGACAATTCCAATGGCCTACTTCTTCCACCTAAGCTCTTGCATTCTAGTTTGTCCCATCTACCAACAATGCCATCAAACCATCAAATGAATCTATCAATAGGTTGATCCATTGATGAGGTCAGGACCCCCATAATCCAGTCACTTTATAGAAGTCCCACTTCTGAAGTGGGAGCAAGCCTTCAACATATGGGAACACATTTCCTATCCAAACCACAGCACACCTCATTTTCTACAACCTCATTTGTGTTCAAACTCTTATTCATAATAGAGGCCAGTCCTTGGCTATTGGGTATAACCCTACATTCAACTCTATTCCACTTTTCTTGCCCTATAAGAACATGTCTTAAGTCCTATACAGAAGCCCATATGCAAGGAGTTCTATGGAAAGTCAACAGACCCTGAAGGTTGAAACTGGTCCCCAGCCTAGAACCCAGCTACAGCTAGCCTGACCACTCAGTAGATTCCTTCTATGTCTATTTGGTTTGCAGTTCATTTCAACCTGCTGCTTTAACAACCTAGTCACTTGACCTCCTGGGTTCTTCACTCTGGGGCATCTCTTTTCCTCCAATGACATAAATCAGTGTTTCATCTTTGTTGTTGCTGTGTTAAGTGTGTGTGTGTGTGTGTGTGTGTGTGTGTGTGTGTGTGAGAGAGAGAGAGAGAGAGAGAGAGAGAGAGAGAGAGAGAGAGAGAGAGAGAG